TTGTGGAGGTAACCCCCCACAAGGGGCGAAAGCCGCTGTATAGCTGCCAATCCCTGCAATGGGTTATTGGCCAGAATGCTGCATTTCAACTCCTGATGGCAAACCAGGATCTCTTATACCCAGTTTCAGAACTATAATCTACTTTATAACGCTGCTTTGACATGAATTCTAAACAAGAATGTAGCACTGTAACTATGCAGCATTGCATGCCAATAATTTATAGACCAGAGCAGTTGTGCTGCATCTTTTTGATATGCATTTTATTCTTGCATCAGCAAGATATTGGAAAAATAAAATAGTAGAGAATTCCAGAGTTTGTGTACTTAAATAGGCAGTAAATCAAGAAGAATGTGGCTGAACCGCCGGCGGCTTTTTCCTTCTTTTTTTTTTTTTCCTTTTCTGTTCGCAATTTCCTTTGGAAATGCCTGGCTGCCGAGGGGTTGCTCGCTCAGGGATAGCCCCGCAGCTGGAGACGTCAGGAAAAAAGATATTGCTACTCAGCCAGCCATCTAACGCTGCTGCCGGAGCCCAGAGCAGCGCACGCATCCACGAACCTCTGCAATTGCCGTTTAAGACAGCATAGATAAAAATACATAAATGCCAAGCTGCCACTTGCATGCCGGGTTTTTTGGTTAGGCATAGATAAACATCGCAACACAGAATCCTTACGCTCTACAGCAGCACAGTTAAGCAATACCAGAGCATTTACCTTGCTTTATAACACCCAGGCAATTGCACGTGCAAAGAAGGTCCCGTCCTGCAAATAACACGGCGCAAGTGCAATAGCGCACTGGCCGCGTTTTCTGCCTACACCGACATTTATCCACGTCCTGCTGCCATGGCAGTGGGTCAGCGCTGGGTCTGACACAACGATCATGAACTGCAAACACCATTCATGCCTACAAGATGAAATAAGCCCTTTCAAGCTGGCAACGCTGCACTCCTGTCCCACAAAGGACTATTTTCCTCCGGGGAAAAAAAGTCTCATTCAAAGTGGCAGACAACTGTCACAGAGTTGGTTGTTGCATCCTGGCCCGGAGCAGAGACAGTTGGCATTGAAAATCAGCATCTGGTATCAGAGAAAATGAAGTGCGGCAGCATTTATTCTTAAATTATCTAGCAAAGAGACTGTGGGAAACCTCTGAGCTGTGTAGGTAAAACTGTTTAAGTGGTCGGTCACACATCATTTTGTTAGGTACGTACAATAAACCAGTAGTTGCTACCAAAACATCTTTTATAAAGCCTAAAAAATATTCCTGGATAATTCTATTATGAAATGTGCCATTGCTTTTGCATGCAGTGCTAAACTCTGCTTCTGGCAAACAAATAATCCAGCCTAGGTCCCTGCCAGCAACATCACCTCTTATGTTTCTGACCATGATACATAATACAATGTCCTAGAGCATTCATCTTCTAATATATCAACAACTTCAGTTTTCAGACGAATTTGCAAACATCTCTGACGCTTACCAATGGCGTGCAGGCTGGAAATGGCATCGCACATCGTGTAAGTGCTGGGAATCAGAGCCTACCACAGGTTCTTCGTGTCTCACGGGCATCATTCACATCCAAACACATTCCTGTCACTTACGCGTTTTCCTTCTTTGTGTACTTAACTAAGTTAGTAGTTTTGGTTTGACTTTCCTAATGCCTTACCTTGTCGTTTGTGCTCTGATTTCTGCAAATAAAATTTCAGGGCACGACCGGCTGGGTGAGGAAGCCGATTAAAAGGAGTGTCCATTTTCCTGTTGTTTCCTGTTGTCATTTAGTTGTAGATGTCCCTGCCAATTGCTGGGGGGATGGACTAGATGACCTTTAAAGGTCCCCTCCGTCCCAAAGCATTCTATGATTCTATGATTCCCTCTGAACTGAGCGAATACATCAAAACAGGTTTCTGTTACAAAACCGTATGAAAATAATCGAATAATGCTTTTTTTTGTCTGAACCCCAGGCTTTGCCTGGACAGTGAAATGGCAAGATTTCTGGACCAAATTAGTACAGTTTAGCAGCAAATAGTGGTTTAAAGTAAGATGTTATGAATTGCCTGCAGTGCTGCAGGTCCTTCTGGGTTGTGCTCTCTCCACCTCAGCCCAATGCAGCGCAGAGCTGCAGTTTTCCAGCCGAGAGCTTGGCATCTCTGCCAGCACCGAGGCAGATCGTGCATTGCAGCACCTGCTCCCCAGGCCATCCGATGGCTCAGCTAGTGGTGGTTTTGTTCACATTAAGGATCAGCAACTTCCACATTTCATCCCTCACCTTCAGGGCTACCGGCGTTGTTGCAAGCGCGTACAGGGCATGGTAGATCCCGTGAACGGTCTTCAAAAGCCATGATCTGCAGAGCATTTGACTCAGGGCTTTAGGAGACCTGCAGAAAAGGGAAGCGAACCCGCAGGTAGCGCTGCACCGGGGAGCGTCAGAAAGACCCTAAGCTTTTCAGAGCTACCAGCAGCATTTCAGCTGCTTTCTTCCAGCCCAAGCCCGGCTGATAAAGCTGCAGTCCGACTGCATGGTTCCCCACCCAAGGTGGATGCTCATGGTCCTCACGTCCTGCTCTCAGAGCTGTTCCCTGGACAAAGGTCCTTCCTCCCAGAGCCGAGTCCAACACGCAATATGATTAAAGCCTCTACTGCCCATATTACCTTGAAATATTTTTCCAAAACCAAAATGCACCTTATTCACCCTTCTGGACCCACATCTTTTGTTTGCATCTCTCACCCTTTGCACAGGCCTGGGATCAGTGACTCAGCGCGGCAACATTTGGCCTCGAACAATCCTGCCCATAATAAAAACAACAGTGAAAAGAGCCAAACCCAAAACCCCTGCTCTCAGATAGTCCCTGTCCCTGGTATAGCTCCAAAACCATTGGAGAGGCGGGTTTTGCCTATAGTCCCAGGCAAGTGCGACTTTTCCTGAGGAATTTGGAGCCTGCCTTTGTAAAAAAATTGCTCCAGTTGGTAAGTCGAAAGGCCAACAGCACACACTACTTCGCTGGCCAGGTTCCAGGGCAATAACCTTGTCAATGCACAACCAGCAAACGAATAAAAGGTGTGGGTGTGTATTAACAAAAGCAAGTCCCTGCTGACTTGTATGATGAAATGTTGACCAAAGGGTGGCTGCTCTCTGATTATCACCCAAGTAACAGATCAGGGACTGGGGCAAATGGTTCACAAGAAGGCAATGGTGCTTCCTAGGAAACGTGGGCACCCCGACCATCTTCAAATTCAAAATCAGCCGAGAGAGGTTTTGGGTTTACCATTGAAACAGCAAAAAGTACAGTCCTTTTGCCAAGTGTTTGCTTATGTTCTGCTTGCTGTAACAAAGACTAATAAAGCACTTTAGCTCTGCTCTCAGATAAACATATGGAGGTTTTTGCTCATATTCTCCTCGGGATTTGAAGAGATTTGAGCAAGCTGAAGGAAAAAAATATGAAGAACACTATTAGCTGTTGAATTCACATTGCAAATCATGAAAAGCCTTCCCGGATGGCATAGAGAAAGTGGAAGGTTCATAAGGTGTTTAATGAGGTGCCAGTGGAAGACTTTCAAGAACAGCCTAGAACAGCTTTGCAATCCACATGAGAAGATATGTACAAGTGTATTTTTGCAGTTTCTGGGAAAGGCAGCGAATGGGATTACCTGCAGGTAAGTCCATTGTGAGGAGAAGGAGATGTTACATGGAGTACTACAAGTATTAATTTCTAAAAAACAATACTTGGGCAATACCTGCTCAGAGAAGACCTGCTTTAAAGAGTTGTGGTGGTGAGGTGATGGGTTAACTGAAGGCTGCCTCCAGAAATTAATGAAGCAAGGAAAGAGTCCAGGCTGAGCTGGTGGGAAGGATCCTGAACCGATCAATACTGCCCTATTACAGGGGAGCCTGGCACAGCTGCAGCTCCAGCAACTACGGGAGCTGGAAAACCACTGCCATTCCAGCGCCACACGCACAGGGAGAGTTTCCTGAAAACAGGTTTTAATATCGGAAAATAGGTTTTAATATCTGAAAACAGGTTTTAATACCTGAAAAACTTTTAGCTTCAAGCAGAGCAGGCATGAGCTGGTGCCAAGTACTCTTTGAAATCTCAGCCTCAACATGCTGCTTATGTTTATGTCACTGGAAAGCTGAGAGCGAGCAAGAGCGCTGTGCTCTCAGCAGAGACGGGCGTCAGGGGTCCCCCTTCCCTACAAGGACCAGATACTCCTTCTTGCATGCGTGAGGCCAATAATTTTCTGCAGCACACGCTGGGAAAGGGGATGCAGCGGTCCGAAGGGGGAACGCCTCTCGTTCAGCCCCTCAGCATCACGGAGCGTGGAGGCTGGGAACTGAGGCTCCTCAGTTTCTATGGATGTTTCTATGCTAGAGAGCAGCTGGAGAAGGATTTCTGGAGCTCTGGATGAGACCCTAGGTGCCAGCTTCCCGCTGAAGCCTTATTAGAAGTCCCAGTTCAGGTCTGGCCTTTAGGAATGCCTCTCTCCTGGCATTTCCTATAATGTAAAAAAATTAAATCGGGCCAAGTCTACTAAATGTGGCTGGTCAAGTTGTATTATATAGGGCAGCCACCACTAAGTAAAATGTATTAAAAATGCAGATAAGCCTCCAAATAGTTGCAGAGCGCAAGACCACCTTGCTAAAATTGTGTTGAATATATTTTGTTGCTTTCTTGCTATGAGAGATCGCACGAAGCCAAGGAGGGTCCTGGAAACGCAAGGATTGCAGGACTGGTAAACCCGGCAAAGTAGCTACCCTTGCATTTAAGCCTGTAAACCCTGATATAGCAGCATGTCCATTTCAGAGATTATTTCAAAACAAAAAAAGGGGGGGGGAGGGAAGTTTCAAGTACCACTTTGCTGCATTTCATTTGATGTCAAATTGGTTGTTTAGTTTTTGCCTGCAAGAGACTCCACCTCCTTTCAAAGTCGCCTTAAATCCTGTAGAGAATTTATCCCAGTACAGCTCCTGCCTCGCACTCAACAGTTACACAGGCAAAGAAAACCAAACGTCCTCAGTCCCACTACAGAGGATTCAGATACCTGGTGCCTTGGAAAACCGCTGCACTAAAAAAGAAGGATTTTTGCTTGGATTGAAGTGTTTTCTGGCTTGATACTTCCATTTATATTTTCTTGGCCCTAAAAATAATTTAAAGTAAGACATCGCTTGTCACCGACCTGGAAAACACCTTCCCTCCCCCCTTTTTTTTTCTTCCTTTTTTCTGTCTTTTTTAGAGGAAAAAGAAACTCAAGGGGGAGAGTTGTTCTTCAGTTTTCGCTCTTCAAGCATAGGTTAAAATGCCAGGCAAGGAGGAGGCCCTCTGTATCGCTCATCTCCGCCTGGAACTGCATTACATCACTTGGAAAACAGGATGAGAGGACATGAGACATCTCATCCCGATGTCTTTTTAACAGCACTCAGTCATATGCATGGAGATTCATAACACCAGCATCTACTGCAGGAAAATGAGCAGATGCCAGAAGATTTTATTTTACACTTAGCGGAAGAAAAAACCATGAGCGCATTTTCCATTTTAAATGCTAGCAACTTTTCGTGGACTGACTCCCTCGAGGACAGTGGCAATTGGACGGCGGTAACCCAGTTTACCCAGCCAGGATGGCAAATTGCTTTGTGGGCTATCACCTATTCCTTCATCGTTATCACATCCATCATTGGCAACGTCACCGTCATCTGGATTATTCTTGCGCACAGGAGAATGAGGAATGCTACCAATTACTTTATCGTTAATTTGGCTCTTTCAGATTTGCTGATGTCTGCTTTCAATACCATCTTCAATTTTATTTACGCCAGTCACAACGTCTGGTATTTTGGCGAGGAATTCTGCAGATTTCTGAACTGGTTCCCCATCACCGCGATGTTTGTGAGCATTTACTCCATGACAGCCGTGGCTGCAGAGAGGTAAGAGGAGAATGGAGAAGACAAGGTCTGAAAAATTTACTGTAAGTTATAAAAAATTATTGCAATACTTTGTGCAACTAGCCCCCACCTACCATGTCAGGTGCCTTATCAGCAAGGTGGGAGGAGTGCCAGGCAAATAGACTATGGGGTTAGATGCTAGTTATGCCATGAAAGGAAGGCTCTTTTGTCTTATCCCTGGTCTGAATCACACCCGAACGTGTACCGAGTGGAAGTGGCTGGTAGTTGATTGTTCCCGTGTTACTGATCATAAATTGTTTCCCAGTCATCCTGCAAACGCTTTTTTTTTAAACCACGAGAAGGGCCTTTCATTTGGACAGAGCTGGAGCGATACGAATATGCTGATACTTTCAGCATCCACAATCCTGCCTGTGAGTCCACCAAACCACCAGAAATAATGGGAATTGGATCAGAAATGGCAGGGTCTGCTCCAATAGTTCACAAGAATGACTTATTCCAAGAGGGAGGAAAGTAATTACAGTGATTTTGTTTGACTTCTGAGGTAATTTGGTATTTTCATAATACTCTCTTACATCTGCCAAGTCTCTTTTACTCGAGCTTAAATTTGTGGAGTCTGAATGT